ATACCATGGGAACCTACCTCTGGATAGAGCCAAGGTTCTGAACCTCCTCTGGGTCAGGATCCTCTTTTGAGATGAAAGCTATGGACCTGCATCCCAGGAGAGTACACATTTGATCAAACATGGGCATAAAATTTGGGATATAGTTCCAAAAGTCCTGAAACTTATCCACAGAACATTACAAAGTACCCTTCAGAGGACACCCAAAAGATGTGGATCAGAGGGCAAATGATGATGTTTTGTACAGTAAGCCTGCTGGGACTCACTGGACTTGGTTTTCCCCAGGTGACACCTGCATTGGCTAATGGCACCTGGGCTGGGGTCAAGGCGGCTGCTTCCTGCCCTGGTGTGGTGTCCACCTTGCTCAGTTTGTTCAGTTCAACACACATTCACGGATACCCTTCTGTGTATCAGTTACCACCTACCCTGGGAGCCCCAAGATGAATCAGGCGTGTCCCTCCCCTGAAAAACTGCGAGTGCTGGCCGGGCGCGGTGGCTCAAGCCTGTAATCCTAGCACTCTGGGAGGCCGAGGCGGGCGGATTGCTCCAGGTCAGGAGTTCGAAACCAGCCTGAGCAAGACCCCGTCTCTACTATAAATACAAAGAAATTAATTGGCCAACTAATATATATATATAAAATTAGCCGGGCATGGTGGCGCATGCCTGTAGTCCCAGCGACTCGGGAGGCTGAGGCAGAAGGATTGCTTGAGCCCAGGAGTTTGAGGTTGCTGTGAGCTAGGCTGACGCCACGGCACTCACTCTAGCCTGGGCAACAAAGCGAGACTCTGTCTCAAAAAAAAAAAGAAAAACTGCGAGTGCAGTCTTGGAGTCTGTAAGCCAGAGTTTATTCTCCAAGCCTGTTTTCTGCATTCTGCCACCAAAGGTAATCGCAGTGCAGCTGAGGCCCTGGGATGAGCTATGTCCGTCAAAGTTTTATCAGATATTTGAGGCACCAGTTGTCTGTCAAGGTTTTATGGATTAGCAAACTACTCACTTTGTAATGAATTTCACCTTTTGAAGAAGACCTACATTCTTTTTTGGTATATTTTGAGTTACTCCCTTTAAAAAAATCATGTTATTTAAAAGCTAGAGATTAAACATAACCAATTTCTGAAATAACCAATTTCTGAAAAAGCTTAATGTTATCACCAAATGGAAAGGTACTGTGAACGTAGTTAGGGGGAAAAACCTCTTGCCTTCAATGTTTTCCTTTTTCTTATGTTCCTAGATTCTGCATTAGGAATTTGGGTGGCTGGCTCATCCCTTTTGGGGGTACTGGGCTACAAGGAGCACAAGAAAAGAAGAGGGGGCATAGATGGGTATCTGGTAGTTTTGAGACAGGTTGGGAAGCTGGAGGGTAACTGCTGCCCCCTCCCATAGCGACCTGCTAGTTTTCAATTATGCTTCTGTCAGAAAGCATTCCTGAGAACTGAAGGCATTGCCAACATTCACACATAAAGTTTTATAAACAGAGAGGTGCAAAGCACCATTACTGTCAGTCACTGATTGTCCTTTCGGTGCTCACTATAGTAGATTTCTTTCATATATGGCTTTGTGTGGTTCTGGTTTGGAAAAAAAAATAGCTTTCATTTCATTGCTAGGATTTAAAGACATAAATTTACTTGGAATATGTGTTCTGGACATAGTAATTTGGAAATACTGTGAGCAGCTGAGGCCAATTCTCCTAAATTAATGTTATTGAATATTTAGCAATTCATATGAGTGATTTTATTATATGTACATGAAAGGCTGCTTCTGCCTCTGAGCTGATTTATTTGATTCTGATCTTCATGGACTGGTGTAATCCCTCAACTCTTTCTAAATTAAAGTATGGTGGGAGAATTAGTTTGGAACGTGTAGGAAGTTTTCATACGTATTTTTAAATACATGTCCAAGGCCTAAACTTCTCATCAGAACAAAATATGATAACAGTCTGGCAAAGCATTCTTCCACATGGCTCTTCTTTAATATCTTCCTACAGAAAGTTTTTGTCATGCCAAACATGGATGATGTTTATATCTCCATAATGCACTCAGCCATGGACCCTCGTTCCACTTCCTGCCTCCTGAAAGACCCATCTGTGGAGGCAGCAGATCAGCCATGATGGATGACATTGGACGTTCCCAGTATTATGAGATCAAGCTCAAGGTGTGGGTTTCTTGGCTGCCATCTGTGCTGTAGCACTGGCCTTTAATGTGCCACAGCCTGTTTCTTAAAGGACTGCTTCTGCCCTCTGCCTGCCGGTGCCCATTCCACTGTGAGGTGTCATTCCCTGCATCCAGTGACAGGTGTCTGGACTGCCTACTGCAAAGCTTTGACCTGGCAAAGGAGACTATGGAAGAATCATCACGGGGAATCCTAAAGTTACAGGTGATTCACACCATTGCTTTTTTAAGTCTACCAGTTTTTGTGGCAGGATATGAGCACATTAAGATAAAGCTGTACAGCTAGAAGGCTTCCCCTTGCCTCCTCGACTCCTCCAATGCTTTTCCTCAGGCAGCGGTACACAATGGAACATTTTTTCACTTCTACACTTTGTATGCGGCCCTCCACACTCCCAGAGAATGTCAGTGTGATGACATGTGTGGAGAGTGGGGAGTGGAATTTTGTGAGCCTTTTCATTGGTGTTAAGCAACTTTTTTTCCACATTAAACTGTGCATTTTGGAAGCAAGCAGCCATAGAACATACACACACTAACACACTGTCAGCTGGGGTAGGGACAGTGGGATTTATGTAAACATTAGGCAGAGCCATGAGATCAAACCATCCCAAGCCTTTTTACCAATGAGGTACAATCACCTGGTTTCTAACTAATTCTGATTTTTCCTGAGACAGGAGCATATGTGAAAACAGCAACACTGCACACAACTAGATTGTTCTCTCATAGGGTGGGGCCAGAAAGCCAGAGCCACAGTCTTCCCATCTGGCATTTCCTGTGTGCTCCAGCTTTTATACAGGAATCTAAATGCTTTGTTAATCTAATTGGTTGGGGAGAGTTTTGTGGGCAGTTTCTTTTTCTGATGGCCAAAAGGGAGAACTGCCCTCTAAGTCAAGACCAAAAGTTTGCTCAACACTACATACTCAAAGTTAATGTGACCTTTCTTTAATGTTGCCAACTTAATTTTGTGCATTTGTGTCAGAATGTTTAGTTTACAAGGTTGGGGGCTCTCTAATTGTATTATTTGCTTTGAGAAGTAAACTTAATACATTTTTTGGTTATTTAAGCTGCAATGTCAAAATTACCTTTGGGTAATTTTTGATAACTTACATCTGTGGACAAAGCTAATAGTGTTTTTTAAAGCAGCACCTTGCCTGAACATGACCTTAAAGAAATTAATATATTGAAAAAGTATATTTGAATCCTTATTTGATTATTTTAATTGCACCATTAAAACATTTGACTTAAAGTTGTTTGACCATTCCAGTCTGTGTACTGTTCTAATTTCTCATTGTAGGCCAATTTGCCTGTCAGTGTCCTGTTCACTGGTCTTTATAATTTTTGTGCAATAACTAAAGGCAAAGGAGTAGATGCACTACTGTGTAAAGAGGTTACACGACTGTACCCTATTGCACCTTAAATAGTATGTGGGGACTTACAATCGCTTGCATTGTTTCACAAAATAAATATCTCATGTCAAATACTAGATAAGCATCTAAGTTATTTCTACGGAATCCTGTTCAGATAACAGGGACAGAATAAACAATACAGAGTTCTTGGGTGTTAGCGGCCTAATCCTTTGTAAGAATGCCAAGACAGCCTTCACCTACCCATATATATAAAATGTGCGTATATATATATTCTGTCCACATTTAAGGAACCTAGTTGAAGTTCAAAACTGCTCCTAACCGGGAGCTTACAGCCTTAATCACCTAGTAATCCTGTTAATTTGGAGCCCTTGTCATTGAATGTAAAGCTTCCCTGCCCACCACTGCTGCCTCGTACACACAACTGATACACAGTATGTAGAAGCCCAGGTGGAAGATCTTGGCATTTTTTTCTTCTCAAGACAGTCTCACTGTTGCCTGGGCTAAAGTGCCATGGCGTCAGCCTGTAGCTCACAGCAACTTCAAACTCCTGGGCTCGTGCAATCCTTCTGCCTCAGCCTCCAGAGTAGCTGGAACTACAGGCATGCGCCTCCATGCCCGGCTATTTTTTTCTATATATTTTCAGTTGGCCAATTGATTTCTACTTTTAGAAGAGAAGGAGTCTCACTGCTGCTCAGGCTGGTTTTGAACTCCAGACCTTGGGCGATTCTCCCGCCTTGGCCTCCCAGAATGCTAGGATTACAGGCGTGAGCCACCACGCCAGGCTTAAGTTGTGTAATTATTGAGGCTTCTATATTATACCCAGCTATACATAAAATCTAACTCATCTTCACAACCGTGCTTTAATTGGCCCAAAGCTTTAGTCCCAGACTTGTAGCACGGTACCCAAATAAGCAGGCAGTTCACTTGAGGCGTAAATAAGGTCGCGATTACACTTTAGCCGTGAGTTAAAACTCGTGCAGCTCGAGACCGATACGGTTCCCGTGAAGTACCCCGCGGCCCTTCGCCACCCCACACTGCCTTTAACTGAACGTGCACATCTAACTGGCCACTAAGGGGCGACAGCTTGGGACTTCCAGGGAAGGCACAGCGTGCCCAATGCAACTCAGCGAGGGCAGAATATAAGGGTGCACAGGCGGACCACTCACTTTGCGGCCAAGGATACAGTATCCCTGTCAACCCCACCCACCCAGGACATTTCGATCTTGGTGTAAGCCGGTTTACGGCCACAGTCGTCCCAAAACGCCTGGAAAACTGCCCACCCCGGCAGCCAGGCCTCGGCCCGGGCTGCCGCTGTGTCGCTCGCGGTTAAAAGGGCCGCCCGCGGAGGAGGCAGGCGGCCCCAGTTATGCGCGAGCCCGTGCTCTGGCGCTGCAGCCTGACCCCCGGCGCCACGCGGAGGCGCTACGGGGGCTCAAAGGCAGCGCGTCGCGGACAACACATACCGACACCAGCGTTGGGGTTAAAACACTTTATTGAGGGGAACTGGGGACAGGGAACAATGAAGGTCGTAGAACGCGGAGATCAACGTCTTCGGCCGGGCTGGGACCTGTAAGAGCAACCGTAGAGGGTGAGCGGGGTGTGCCCGCCGGCTTGTCCCACCCCCATCTCCGCTGCAGCCGGCTCAGACTCCAGTTCGCATCACCCGCGTCAGCAGTCTAACACGTGCTTTAATTGGAATGTCATCACGGCCAGCCGGCCGTGCGCCTCCCACCCCGCTCCTGGCCCGCCAGGCCGTGCAGCCCGGCCAGTGAACACAACTCACCTCCGAGCCTTTGCAGACGCCGAAAGACTCAAATGCCGGTATGGCGATTACTTAAAGGAGCAGACCGGATGTGGTTGGGCGGCCTTTACTGCTATTAACCAATAGTAAGTCAAACTTCCGACCACGTGCACGTAAAGTAATCTAATGATTGGCCGTGCTCTCTGAGTCCTCCGGAGCGTAGACAGCTCACATACCAACCATAGAGATGGGAGTCTAGAAGACGCCGAGAGTTTTGAGAGTGGCGCAGTCACTGGAGTGCTTAGGATGTTATTTCCACATCTCCATCGCGGGCTTGTAGTTAGTACCTGTCTCTGTAGTACACAAAAGAAAGCTTTACAAAGAACAGAAGACAAGTAATACCTAACTTGTACGAGATATTCTGTGCCAAAAGCTAGGCTAGGAGTTAAGGATGTAAAATTGGAACAAAACTGCCCCCCCCCAGTTCAAAATAACCTGTTGTGGTAGAAAGAGCTTTTGTTTTCAAGTAGACCCATCTGCAACCAAATCCTGACTTTGTGATGCATTTTTTTTCTATGACCCTGGTCATTTAACCTTTCTGAGCCTCGTTTTCTGGAAATTAAGAACATCCCCCCAAAGTTGTAAGGATTAAGTGAATTAAAGTCAATCACATGGCACATTCTGTGTGATAAATGTTTGTTTTTAAAGGACTGGGGTGATGTGGGAAACTTTTTTTTTCCTTGTTCTCTAAATGTTTGTTTCTTATGTTGTTTTTTTTTTTTAATTTATTTCAGGATATTATGAGGTACAAACATTTTGGTTACATTTTATGTCTTTGCCTCACCCAAGGGAGAATTAGAGGCTTGTCCTTCCCCTCTACAATGCTCACCGCCTCCATTAATGATGAGTTTACCGCCCGCAAGCCCCTAATCCCTGGAGAATAATACTACCCTATGAGCACCATAGTGTTGATCAGTCAGTGCCAATTTGTGGAGCCTATTCTTCCCATCTTGTGATACCTCACTTCGGATACGGGGCTCAAGCTCTATCCAGGAAAATATAAGAGGTGCTAGATCATTGTCGTTTCTTATTATTGAGTAGTATTCCATTGTATACATATACCAAATTTTAATAATCCACTTATGAATTGATGGGCACTTGGGTTGTTTCCACATCCTTGCAATCGTGAATTGTGCTGCCATAAACATTCGGTGCAGATGTCTTTATTATAGAATGCCTTTTGGTCTTTGTGGTAGATGCCTAATATTGCTATTGCTGGATGGAATGGTATTTCTATTTTTAGTTCTTTGAGGTATCTCCAAATTCTCTTCCACAGAGGTTGCACTAATTTGCAGTCCAGATGTGGAAAACTTTTGTGACTGCAAAACTTTAATAAATACTGAAATAGAGCTATGAACAACCTACTGTGGAAACCCAAAGGAGAGAAGTCCTAATTTGGGGGAAACTAAAAGTGCTTCGCAGAGTTATTGAACTCATCCTATGAGCCAAAGAGTGGGCTGTTCACTGGATATCCACGTGGATGAATAAGACTATGGCCCTCCCCTTTAAGGCTTGCTTTACTGGAAGAGGGAATGGTATGGGGACAGTCACAACAATCTCTGGTTGTCTTCCCTTAGGAATTCTTTTCCTTTTTTCCTCTTAATAAGGAAAATTTAACATTTTTTGTAATAATGAAAGCATATTTCAGATGGTGAGTTTGTAGTTGAATGGGGCTCTTATTTTCATTATTGTCTACATAGTCTTAAGTTTTTTCAAATAACTTTTTTGTGCTTGTTTAGGCCAGCACATACACTAAAATTGGAGTGATACAGAAAATATTAGGATGGCCCCTGGGGGAAAAAAAAAGATTACTCTTTGATCCAAAGCAATAATTATTTTGACAAGTGTTTAGTACCCTCTAGATAGTTATTTATTTTTATTGCTGCTTAAACTCTTGTTATTTTGACATTTATTACATAATGGTACAGTTTCTACTTAGAGGAAAGTATTAAAGTTTTCTTTGTGGCCTAAAATAACATTCTACACATCTCCTAAGTATTCTACACATTCTTGAAATGATGTCTTCACTATTGTGTACAAATATGATGCAAAGTACTTATTAATTCAACCTTAGTTATGTTGTATCACATTGTCCAAATCTCTATTTTGTGTATTATGTACCTGATTGGAAGTGTGTTCACTGTCATTTATTGATAGTGATATGTTAAGGGTATACTTCAGTTGGGTGTGGTGGCTGATGGCAGTAATCCTAGCACTCTGGGAGGCCAAGGAGGGAGGATTGCTTGAGCTCAGGGGTTCAAGACCAACCTGAGCAAGAGCAAGACTGTCTCTGCTGAAAATAGATGGGTGATGTGGCACATGCCTATAGTCCCAGCTACTCTGGAGGCTGAGGCAAGAGGATCACTTGAGCCCAGAAGTTTGAAGTTACAGTGAGCTACGATGGTGCTACTGGGTGACAGAGTGAGACCCCATCTCTACAAAATAACAAATGTTTTTTTAAAATGGATGCTAAGTAAACAACCACATATCCACCACATTGTTTATTTATTTATTTATTTTTGAGACAGTCTCACTTTGTTGCCCAGGCTAGAGTGAGTGGCATGGCGTCAGCCTAGCTCACAGCAACCTCAATCTCCTGGGCTGAAGCAATCCTACTGCCTCAGCTTCCTGAGTAGCTGGGGCTACAGGCATGCGCCACCATGCCCGGCTAGTTTTTTTGTATATATATTTGTAGTTGGTCAATTAATTTCTTTCTATTTTTAGTAGAGATGGGGTCTCGCTCAAGCTGGTTTCGAACTCCCGACCTCGAGCAATCCCCCAGCGTTGGCCTCCCAGAGTGCTAGGATTACAGGCGTGACCCACCACGCCCAGCCCACATAGTTTATTTTTAAAGGTACATTTTTCTAATTTTCAAAATCAAGAACAAAGCAACAGTCTTCAACACCACAGCATGACGGTATTTAATACACTTTTCTTTCCTCTCCATACTCTTAACAACACTCCCACCTCTGCACACACATTCCTGATGAATAGTAATTTAGAGGAGTTAGAAATTATAGACTTTTGGGCCAGGTGCGGTGGCTCACGCCAGTAATCCTAGCTCTCTGGGAGGCCGAGGCGGGCGGATTGCTCGAGGTCAGGAGTTCGAAACCAGCCTGAGCAAGAGCGAGACCCCGTCTCTACTATAAATAGAAAGAAATTAATTGGCCAACTAATATATACAAAAAATTAGCCGGGCATGGTGGCAAATGCCTGTAGTCCCAGCTACTTGGGAGGCTGAGGCAGGAGGATTGCTTGAGCCCAGGAGTTTGAGGTTGCTGTGAGCGAGGCTGACGCCATGGCACTCACTCTAGCCTGGGCAACAGAGTGAGACTCTGTCTCAAAAAAAAAAAAAAAAAAAAAAGAGTACACTTTGCTGTAGTGTACTACAGCAAACAAGGCATAGTAACTTGTGATAGTAACAGTAACTTGCATTGTAACAGTAACAAGACATAGTGATTATGCCTTGTTATCTGAGAAGGTTGAGTTCATCCCACATTCACACCTGCGACTTCTCACTCTAACGGGAGGAACCTCCCAGTGAAACAAGGGAACAGGTAAGGTAAAGAGAGGGGAATCCTAACCTGGAACAGTAGACTCAACCAAAACTCATACAGAAGAGCCAAGATCTGAGGCTCTAGGGAAGAGTCCGGAAGAGCATTGGGTTTAGAGGAACCTGAGGCAAATGTGGAAGAGAGTTCCTGTGAAGAGAGGGCAAAACAAGCACGTCAGGGTGAAAGATGGGGGAAGACAGAGGATGTTTTCTTGAACAATTGTCCAGCCAGCATGACGACCGGCTCTCGCAGGCTGGCTTGCATGTGTGTAGGGGGGGAGGTGTTATGTGGAAACCTGAAGACACCAAAATCATTCCATTATGATTTCCCTCCACTTCCCTCTTCTCTGCCTCAACATAACTGTCTTTATCTATCCTTCCCTCCCGCCTCAGACGAAGATATAGCAAGTCATCATTTGTTCTTTCAACAAACGGTTTAAAATCCCTGTCCTGTACTTGATCCTGTTCTGGACACTGGAAATAGGAATGTGAATAAAACAGTCCTCAGGTAGCCCACAAGGTATTAACCACTTCGGTACGGCACTCACCGGCCGGGACACCTTGCCCACAGCCGGCACTCACAGTCCGCACGACAGTTTGTGCTGTGCATTGACGAAGACGGCTCCGTTTTGCTCTTGTGCGATGAGGAAAGCTTGAAAGCACTGAAAGCTCGTTTTACTTTACGGCAGCTTTACTTGTCATGTAAATCAGAATAGGTAACATATACATGTATGTTTTCATTATGTTATTTTTAAATGTTCACAATTTTATTTTGATACATGAAAAATTAGAAAAGTCATATCATGGCTGTCAGCTAACGTCTCTGTGCGCGTTCATCTGTGGCTGTTGACTATAGTTGACGCTGATCCCGAAGTGGTTAATAGTTGGAGGTAAAAACAACAAAAACCTGCATTTTATGCACTTTTTATCTTTTTCCTCCCCTCATCAACCATAGACTTCTGCAGGTATAGGTGTGGTTGGGGAGGGAAAAGGAGAAAGAAAATTATTCTTGATTGAGAGTTGGCCACAGGCTACATGTAGTCAAATATATTATCAATTTAGTCCTCAGAAATCCTGAGCCAACATTTTAATCGAAGATTATTGGTTGTGAAGTGATGGAAACCCAACTCAAACTAGCTGGGGTAACTAGGGAACGGTTTGGTTCACTGGGGAAGAAGACCTGGGCAGGCTGATTGTAGGCCTACTACTGTAAAATCAGAACTTGATTTGTTCTCTCTCCAGGGCTCTCTGACTATATTATTACTAATTTTTCTCTTTCCTTATCAATTTCTTTGTTTTGAATTTACTTTCTTTGTAGGACAGAGACAGCTCCTGGGCCTCCCACCTCTTAGCTCTGCCACCAGAAAGGAAATGAATTTTTTTCATGGCTTTATTTGGAATCAGATTGGTTATAAGCCTATTCCATGGGTCAAACAAAGGTGTCCCCATGGTTAGCTATTTTGGTTATCTGTTACTGCAAGACAAACCACCCCATAACTCAGTGGTTTAAAACAATGGCCATTTTCTCTCACCATTCTGTGAGTTAACTGGGCCCAGTTTGAAGGTTCTTCTGCTCAATGTGGTGTCAGCAAAGGTAATCTGAGGCTTGATTGGGCTGGAGCACCCAGGAGGGCTTGTTCAGATGGCTGGCAACTGGGCACCTTTGATTAGAGCAGTTCCATTCTTTTCCATGTGCCTGAGTGTGGCATAGGCTTCTTCCATCATGGTGGCGAGGTTCCAAGAGGGAGTGTCTCAAGAGCGAGTATTCTAAGAGGAAGGAAAGGAAAGCTGCCAGGCTTCTTAAGACTTGGGCTGGGAAGTCCCAGAGTGTCACTGCTGGTCAAAGCCAGTCACAGGGCCAGTCCAGATTCAAAGCAGGGAAAATAAGTTCCACCTTTTTTTTTTTTTTTTTTTTTTTTTTTGAGACAGAGTCTCACTTTGTTGCCCAGGCTAGAGTGAGTGCCGTGGCGTCAGCCTGGCTCACAGCAACCTCAATCTCCGGGGCTCAGCGATCCTACTGCCTCAGCCTCCCGAGTAGCTGGGACTACAGGCATGCGCCACCATGCCCGGCTAATTTTTTGTATATATATTTTTAGTT